AATAAAACAGAGAATCTAGAAAGAGAACCACACATATATGGTCCACTGAGTTTTGAAAGATTATTCAACATTAGCAAAAAATCTAAATCTTACATAACCCTAACCCTAACACTAACCATAGTACCCACAATCCAATACACAGATACTTGAATTCCATAGCCCTAAACCTATCTGTAACCTATCTATAACCTATCTGTAACCTATCCTAAACCTATCTGTAACACACTCCAATACTCAGGCACTTAAATTCTAATACTATATTTAAGGTTAACCCTAATAATAACTCTAACACTAATTCTAATCCTAAACCTAGCCCTAACCCTAACCCTAATAATAATAACCAGCCTCCAATACTCAGGTTCTTGAATCCCAACAGTGTTTCTAATCCTATCCCTAACCAACACTAACACTAACCATCTGATGCTTAGGAACTTGAATTCCAACACTGTTTAACCCTAACCTTAACCCTAACTCTCACAATACCCATACTCCAATATGCAGGTACATGAATTCTAACACTATCTCTAACCCTCATCCTAACCCTAACCCTCTCACTAACCCTAACCATAATACCCACACTCCAAAACTCAGGTACTTGAATTCCATAACTATCCCCAACGCAAAACCTAACATAAGCCCTAACCCAAACCCAAACCCTAAAAATAATACCCACATTCCAATACTCAGGTAGTTGAATTCCAACACTATTCCTAACCCTAACCCTAAACCTAACCTCCATCTAAACCCTAACCTTAACCCTAAACCTACACTAACTCTAGCAATAATACCCACACTCCAAAACTCAGAGACTTGAATCCCAACACTATCCCTAACAATAACCCTAACCTTAACCCTAACACAAACCATAATACCCACATTTGAATACTCATGTTATTGATTCCAACATTATTCCTAACACGAATCCTAACCCTAACTGTTACACTAACATTAACCATAATATTTACACTTCAATACTCAGGTACTTGAATTCCGACAGTGTCCCTAACCCTAACACTAACCATAATGCCAACACTTCAATACACAGGCACTTGAATTCTAACACTGTCCCTACCCCAAACTTAACCCTAAAGCTAACACTCACCATAATAACCACACTCAAATACTCAGGTATTTGAATTCCAACCCTATCCCTAACCCTAATCTTAACCTTACCCCAACACTAACCAAAATAACCAAACTCTAATACTCAGGAACTTGAGTCCAACACTATCCCTAATGTTCAATCTAACCCTAACCCTAACCATAATATCCACACTCTAATACTCAGGTACTTATCCCTATCCCTAATCCTAACCTTAAATCTAATCCTAAACCTAATTCTAACACTAACATTAACCCTAATACCCACACTCAGATAATCAGATACTTGAATTCTAACATTGTCCCTAACCATAACACTAAACCTAATCCTTAAACTAACCATGATACCCACAATCTAATACTCAAGTACTTGAATTCCAACACTATACTTAACTCTAACCCCAACCCTAACAATTATACTCACACTCCAACATGCAGGTACATGAATTTCAACATTATCCCTAAATGTAACCCCAAACCAAACCTAAACAAAACACTAAGCATAAAACTTACATTCCAATAATCAGGTATTTGAATTCCAAAACTGTCCTTAACCCTAACCCTAACCCTACTCTACCCTAATCCTAACTTGCACCATATCCACACTGCAATCTCGGGTACTTGAATTCCAACAGTATCCCTAACACTATCCTTAACCCTAATCATAATACCCACACACCAATAATAAGGTATTTGAATTCCAACACTGTCCCTAACCCTACTCCTAAACTTAGCCGTAACGCTAACCATAATACCCACACTCCAATCTCAGGTACTTGAATTCCAACATTATCCTTAACCCTAACTCTAAACAACTCTAAATGTAACCCTACCCCTAACCCTAACAATAATACCCACAGTCCAATACTCAGTTACTTGCATTCCACCACTATCCCTAATCCTAACCCTAGCTCTAACCTTAAAACTAACCATTATACCCACACTTTAATACTCTAGTACTTGAATTCCAATACTGTCCCTAACCTTAACACAAACACTAACCATAATACCCACACTCCAATACTCAGGTAGTTGAATTTCAGCTGCTATTAACTCTAACTCTAACTTTAACACCAACACTCCAATACTCAGGTACTTGTATTTCAACACTATTCCTAAGCCTAACACTAACCATATTCCCCAGACTCCAATAATCAGGTAATTGAATTCCAACACTGTCTCTAACCTGGACCCTAAACTTAATCCTAATGCTAACACTAACCATAATATCCACACTTCCATACTCAGGTACTTGAATTCCTAACCCTAACCCTAACACTAACAATAGCTATTAGGTGTATCAAGATGAATTTCCTCACAGTCTGATATATTACTGATTACCAACTAAGGATTCATTAAATGGTGACTTTAATTATTAATATATTATTATATTCAAAATGATATACGTTTGGAATTAACATAGTTAAAGGAAAAATCAATGAATGAAATACACATATGGCAACTTACCCAAATAATACTGAATTATACATCCTACAGGCACCTCGTGATCCACAGGTGGTGACAGACCACTTTAAACATGTTGTATCAATCATGGCCCCATAATATATTGGAGATAGTATTCCTGCTGCAATATGAGATGAGAAGGCATCAATCTATAGAATATTTCAAGCGAAACTAGGTGGCATTCTACATTGATCCATTTGACAGTAAGAAAAGGTGAAAAGTTTGGAAGACTCATTGTTTTGGCCTAATTATATGAAAAAATCAAGTATATAGGGACCTACAAAGAGTCACATCATATACAGTAATACCTCAGTTCACAAACTCTTCTGTCTATGAAAAATTCATTTTGGAAACAGAAACATTCTGCAAAATTTTGCTTCTGCATTGGGTAAGAAACATGACTGAGGCCATCTTACCTACACGAACATGAACACAGCCATCCTCCCCAGAATTGTGAAACAAATTATGTTCATGAACCTAGGTACCACTGTAGTAATCTGACACACATCCTTTTTTTTTTTTTTTGAGACAGGGTCTCACTATCTAGTTCAGGCTAACCTTGAACTCACTATGTAGCCCAGCCTGACCTTGAACTCACAGCAATCCTCCTACCTCAGCCTCTTGAGTGCTGGGATGACAGGCATGGGCCATCACACCCAGCTCACACACATCTTTTATGTACCCTAAACTTCTGAGAACACATAAGGAAAAAGGAGCATTAAATGTATATAAGGTCATTTTTCCTGAAATTTTTAATCTTCTAACTTTTTTTTGAATAATTTTCAATTTAACAAACTACATAGCATTTTACAATTCATAACTGTATTTTATTCAAGACAATTGTTTGTGAATTACAAATTTCGTCCTCAGTATGTACTTTGCCATGGAAGCAATTGGATTTCACTGAACCAGGTATAGGACACATCAAACATAGTTACAATGGCAAATTACAATTGAATGGTAAAATTTATTTTTAAAAATGTTATGTTGTTGGGCTGGGGATGTGGCTCCACAACATAGCACTTCCCTGGGACATATAAAGTCCTGGGTTCAATTCTCCAGCAGAGCAAAAAAATAAAAGAAATAAAAATAAAATTCTAAGTTATTGGTAGAATTTCTTTAATTCTCATGGTCTTGTGTCAACATATGAGAAGGAATATTAACCACTCAGATTCTATGGTAAGCTTCTGAGGTACTAGGAGGGAGGCATCTCCACTGGGGCTGGAGGTAGAGAAATGCCAGCAGGTACAGAGGCTGCCAGACATAGATGCACGGCAGAGAATACTGCAGAAAGAATTGGTATGGAATCTCACAGCACCTCCATCTTCTCCTCCTTGTCATTCCCTACAGTTCTTCTTTCCACCTTTGAGGATCTGTGACATTCTCTTCAAATGCACTTCCTGTCAAGGTTTACACTGTAATTTGACTGCAATCTTATGTTTCTTTCCTTGGCTTCCAGAGGTCCCAGGGATTGGCTCCTCCTACTTCCTTAAGTTTTCCTGCCAGTGGTTGCCTCTGACCCAGGATGAGTCCTCTGCCCAATCCCCAGATGAAGGGTGAGCATGTAATAGTTCTAAATCTTACAAAGTATTATGCACAAGGGTTAGGTTAGAAGTGGTTAAAATAACGATAGATATCTGGGAATGAAAATGGCAAATGACAGCTAGGTAGAGAGGATGGTTTCCTAAATCTCTGACAAATCACCTCATTTGAATATTTAGAAGCCTTTAGCCTCTAGAGCTTATGGTCCCACTCTTTGCCAATAAATTTCACAATATTCCAAGCTCTTTTTAATTTAGAATGTTCTTTTAATCCAAGACGCCTAATTCCAGAGTCCGGGTTGTCATTCCCTTTTTAGTTTGAACTTCTACTAAAGGTTAGCCACCCAGTCTTACAAGATTTAACAGTAAAAAGCTGTGCAACCTATCTCAGTTTTTTATTACTTTGAACAATCTCAGCTGGATCAAATCCTCAGGACTCCCAAGCTGCTTCAGGCATTACCTACATAGTGACTCCTTTTAGAAAGAAGGCCCTCCACTCTGCCTACCTGAAAGAAATATTCCTCAGCAGAAAATTCTTAGGGACTGCCTATCTTTGTCTTAAAGCATGTAATACAAATATAATGATTCCTTTGTCTTAATAGATTGATCTTAGAATTACCAATCAAATTTTAAGGTCATACAGTTTTCCTGTCTTCTATTTATTATCTTACCACAAAAATAGAAATGATTCTCTTTTACACTTTTCTTAAACTTTCATATAATCAGGAATTAATAACATTCAGTTTTTGTGCTTTGACATGAATATTTATCTTCTGAATGTAACATATTTCTCATACCTAGTGTTCGTATAATCAGTGAATGGAAACCCATTGCAAGAGACTTCAATTCAGGTTGAACAATTCTGAAAGAAGACAAAAGCAAAGAAACATTAAACATCTTTAAAATACCAAACAGACTTCAATATTAAAATAGTCTTGTATAATTTTTCTTTGTGATGACTCTCAATTCAATGGAGCACATTATACAGTTATTATCTTCAGTTTTGAAAGGTACACACTTCAGTGATAATAATTATGACATTAACTGTTTAAAGTGTTATAATTTCAAGATAATTTCATAAGCATTTTTACATTTCATCCTTAGGAAAATCCCATGAGAACATGGCTGTAACAGACTTTTTGATTCCTATGAAGACACTGACCATGCAGTGTCTGTTCAGTGGACAAACCCCACAGAAAAAGAGCAGATTCCTTCACCTAGCCATGGGTCACAGTACACTGCTTACCACTCTTATTCCTGTTACTGTTATAACAGAAAGTTTTACTACCATTCTTACTGAAATACATAATGCAGCCAGAATAGTAGAAAATGTTCTGTATTCTACTGTCTAGGCTCACTGTTATTTTTAAATGTACAAAGCACATTTCAATCCACAGTTAGAAGATCAGTCACTGTTGCATTTAGGAAATTATTCCCACAATTCCATTTTTCTGTTTTCAGTAAGTTGATGGCACCACTAGCCCCGTGATAAGCTAATACATATCCAATGAAATAAAATTATCTGACAGCAATAGAAATGGTGGCGTCACTGTAGGAAAGAGATTGCAACTCAAAACAAAAATCATTTTTACTGAAATACTGAACCGAGTGATACAGTTTTGTTTTTCTTTTTCTCAAACTATTTTCTTATCATTCAACAAACATTTACTAGTACTTCCTGAGAGATGTCATACTAGTTTTTGTTTTTGAAAATAAGAGAAAATAGATGATTCATATCAACTAAGTGACTTGAAAAAGATATTTAACTTCTCTTAGCCTTAGTTCGTTTACTTGCCAAGTGGGCATAATAATGCTTATCTCATATGTTGTGAGAGTACAATGCAATGAGCAAGCACTTTATACCTCAGTTTTATTCACAAGTATTTGCTTAGTAATCCTTTCAGGAGAACTATGATTTATTGAGGCCCACAAAAGTATTTGAAAAAGCTAGGGGTTGTGGCACATCCCTAGTCCCAGCTCCTTGGGAAGTTGATGCAGGGGCATCATTTAAGCTCTGGAGTTTAAGACAAGACTGGACAATAACACAAGCTTGTCTCAAAAACAAAGAACAACAGCAACAACAACAAAACAGAGAAAGAATGAAAAAGGATTTGAGAGCTTACAAAACTACATAGCACAAAATTAAATTAAACACAATAATAAAATTAAACATAGGACTCCTGGGAAGATGGTGGAGTGGTGAGCAACATCAAATCAGCCGCTCTGAATTTTGGGGTCCAGATGTTGGGATACAGCAATATGGAGAAGCGAGGAAAGAGAGAAGTGGATCCCTAGGACAAAGGATCTGATGTGAGAATTGGAGCCCAGGCAAAGAACAAAGAGAGGGACCTCAATGCAGAAGAGAGAAGTGGCAATTGGTGCTTTCATCCTGAATCTCAGCTCATGGTGTGGGAGAGGCACTTTGAATCTATTGAGGCATGGTGACTACCAATGACCTCTGATGACTCCATGCAGAAAAGAACCAGTGGAAAGGAGCAGTGGACACTGTGGGCTAAAGTGGCTTGTGAGTGATTTCGGTTCAGATGTCCCCAGGAGAGGGTGAGTTGCTCATCATCATTTTGTTAAAGGAGAAGCTGAGCATAGTACTCAGGGCAGCTGTGGGTTGCCTCCATCTGGGGGCTCCCAGTGTCAGGGTGAGATGAGGCACACCATAGGAGACACCCAGGGTCAGGGAGGCCAGTTGCTGGCAAAGAGGCACCTAGAATGATGTGGGCTGAGCAACTCAGGCCCAGCCTCACGGCCAGAAACCAAGGTTAGCCTTAAATTTAGTGGACTCGAAAGTAAAGGCTTGCTGGGGTTATCCATCCCTCAACATACTGTAATTATACTATACACTTTTCTGGGGTCAACCAATATGGATCTGGGCTTTTTCTGGCCCCTTTGTCTACCAATGACAACAGATACACTCCCTGAAGTAGGCATTTTTTTTCTTCCTTTCTTTGCTTATATTTTTCTCAACTGTTTCTTCTGGTTTTTATGTGTGTGAATATTATTTCTAGGGTTTTTTGTTGTTTTGCTGTGTTCCTGTTTCTGTTTCTTCCTTCTTTCCTTCCCTCCTGTCTTTTTCACCAGGGTAAAATTCACCCTTGAAGTTGAAATTCAAGGGTGACATTCATCCTTGCTTCTAATCTCTTTGTCTGCTTCTATTTCTCTATTTTTCTTCTTATTCCTTTTAAATTTTCTTCCTTAATGGTAAAGTCACTCTTTTGAGGGGATATTTACTGTATACAACTTTCTGGTTTGTTTTAAATTTGGTTATATAACCACAAATCTTGTCCACATTTAAGAGTTTCAAATTAATAGTTACCACAGTTTATCATTTTTTAGGCTGTGCTTGACGCTATTGTTATACTGATTGCATTACTTTTCCCAATGTAACATAGTTGTTCTAATCAATTTTTCTTTCTTTTATGCCAAGATCCAGATTGCCTGAGAGTCATAAACAATACTATAGACAAGTACCAAAGAACCAGGAGCTAGGCCAAATAGCCTCCAAATTCTTTTTTCTTTTTTTCATTAATTTTATTGGTATGTTTTAGGTATAAAGTATGCTGACATTCATTATTGGGAACTTGTACCTTTACATAATATATCTTGGTTTTTATTTTTCCCCATTCCCTGCCCTCCCTTGCCCTCCTCCACCTCCCCCTATTTACAAAGACTTTTGTTTCCATTTTTTCCTTTTCTCATATTTATTCTTTTCCCTTCTTTCCTTTCCCTTACCCTGCCCACTTCCCCTTCCCCTTTGGAACTTTTCTTCCTATGTCACATGATTTATTACACATTTTGATTCTTATTTACACTTTCAGTTTCTCACACCAGAGAAACTATTTGGTATTTACAAATGTGTGTCCTATATATTTCACTTAAAAGTATGGCCTCAATGTGCATCCATTTAGCTATAAATGTCTAGTTTCTCATTCCTCATGGCTGAGTAGTACTCCATTTTATTAAGAAACCACATTTTCTTTATCCAGTCTCCAGTTGATGTGCAAGTGGGCTGCTTCCAAGTTTTAGCTATTACAAATTGTGCCGCTATGAACATGGGTGCACATATATCACTGTGGTATGATTCTTTTAATTCTTTTGGGAAGATACCCAGCAGGGGAATAGCTGGGTCAAATGGAACATCTAATCCTAGTTTTTTGAAGTATCTCCACACTCATTTCCACAGTGGTTGCACCAGCCTATACTCCCACCAAGAGTGGAGAAGGGCCAGCAAATTCTTATTTCTAATAAGTTGAAGAAGTAGGATCTTGCAGCAGACTCAAAAGCCAAGAGCCAGCTACACCTAGAAGACTTTGCTGAAAAGTAACCATTTCCTAAGGAGTTATCAATACAAACAAAAAGCTATCCACTACAAGCAATTTACAACTATTAATGCAGAAAATAAACTAAAAATATAGAAAATGAGACGACATGGAAGCAAAATTCAACCCCACTTCCAGCTTGTTGAAGGAACACCCAAGGGGCATTAATGTGGAACATTTCAAAAACCACCCACCTGAACTCTCTAAAATGGTAACAGTGGAATTAACAAAGCAGGTGAATGAGGCTCTAGAAAAAAATCAAATTAGAAATAATTTTCCAGATTTGTAAAGAGATGATGACCATAGTGAAAGACTTTATTAGTGAATGTAGAGTAGATACAGATTTTTTAAAAAATAGAGGAGCTTAGGAAAATGATGGAAATCATGAATGCTCAACATAGAAGGAAATGAAATACAGGAAATAGATTCAAACAGATATCTAGAAGATAAAAAATTAAAGTACATGCAGCAGAATGTGAGGACAGAATGCAGAACTAGAAGACAGGTCTGTGGTTAGCAATCATGAAAAGAAAGATTTCTTTAAAAAATAGCAAGGGATTGTTTCAAGTTGGGGATTGTAATACACACTACCTTGTCTTTGTTGCCCAGTATTGCTTTTGTTATTCTAGGTATATTCTTGTTCGAAATTAATTTTTGGATTGTTTTCTCAAGGTCCATGAAGTATGCTGCTGCAATTTCAATTGGGATTGCATTGAATCTATAGAGCAGTTTTGGAAGTATGGCCATTTTCACTATGTTGATTCTTCCTACCCAGGAGGAAGGCGTGTCTTTCCATTTTCTGATATACTCTTTGAACTCTTTTTCCAGAGTGCCATAGTTTTCAGAGTAGAAGTCTTTGATTTCTTTTGATAGGCTGATTCCTAGGTATTTCATTTTTGGGGATGCTCTTGTGAAGTGAGTTGTTTCTTCAGTTCCTTTTTCAGTGAGTCTGTTGTTCGTGTAAAGGAAAGCTATAATTTTTGTAAGTTGACCTTACATCCAGCTACTCTACTGAATTTGGTTATTAAGTCTAGATGACTTTTGGTGGAGTTCCTGAGGTCTTCTATATAGATTATCATAATCTTCAAATAATGACAGTTTGTCTTCTTCATTTCCTATCTTTATTCCTTTTATTTCTTTCTCTTGTCTAAATGCTGTGGCTTAATGTTTCCAAAACCATATTGAAGAGGAGTGGTGACAGAGGACATCCAGGTCTTATTCCTGATTTTAATGGAAAGATTTCAGTTATTGAACATTTAGTATGATACTGGCTGTTGGTTTTTCATAGCTGACTTTTATCAGGTGGAGGTAGAGACTGTCTATTCCAATTTTTTGTACGTTTTCTTTGTAAAATCATGAATGCATGTTGGATTTCGTCAAATGATTTTTCTGCTTCTGTTGAGGTTATCATATGGTTTTTGTCTTTGGCTCTATTAATATAGTGTATTACATTTATTGATGTGTTTATGTTGAACCATCCCTGCATCCCTCAAGTGAATCCCACTTGGCCAGGGTGTATGATCTTCTTGAT